GACTGTTTCTCGAGTTCTGTCTCTATTTAATGAAACAGGTGCTTATCGCAGAAGAACTGAGCAAGGTAGGAGACACGTAACAAATGCTCGCGAGGATCATCGTATAATACGAGCAACCTTACGTGAACTAGTAAGAAATGCGCAACAAATTCTTAACGAAGCCTTGCCACACAGGCAAATCAGTTTGCAAATAGTAAGGAGACGTCTTCATAAAGCAGGCTTAAGATCACAGATCTCGTCTGCACTATGCTAGAACTTATGGACAATGGACAACCGTCCAGAATTTTTTCCGGTAGGTCCATCATGGTATGAGGAGATATTTCTTTAAATTATTGCACTAATCTTATTGCGATTTCACCTCCCGAGTTAACAGCTAGACACAACATCGATGAAATTTTTGAATCTCACGTGCTTCCAATGAGCCGCCACATAAACCCAAATTTCATTTTCATGCAAGATAATGTATCATCCTATTCTTCAAAAATTACTCAGGCTTACATCCGGGAACAACACTTAGAGAAACTGCCGCATTCATCTAATAATCCGGATTTTAATCCAATTGAACGTGTATGGGACATAATTAGTAAACGATTGCACAGTAGGCAGAGATAGCCAAGGAATCTTGAGGAACTGGGACTAGCTCGAAATGAGATATGGCAGGAGATACCTTAAGATATGATAAGAGCTTGCATTAATATGCCTATAAGGATAGCTGAGGTTATTCGACGTCGAGGTGGCAACACAAGATATAAAAGGTTTTTTATACAATTATTAGTGATCGGCACGCACACACCCACACACATAAACATACACATATACATGCATACGCGCGCGCGCGCATACACACACATAATAAGCTAAGTCCGATCGACTACCTCCTCCTGGTACTTATTGGATAAAGCTAAAGTCGACGTTAATATTTGTTTCGCTCGAAAACGAGTTTTCCATTTCGATTTGATTAGAATCAACCAAGAAAATATAACATTCGAACCCGTGCATATAGCATTTTGAACCTGAGATGCCGATCTGCGAAGTCGAGTTATTCTACACCGCTGAATCAATCGTAGGGTAGATCGAATTTATCAAATTTTTGACACAAAAAAACGAGTTATTTAATTTTTAAAACGGTGCAAAATCGTCAAAAAAATCGTGGAAGATCAATTTTTTGTTAACCAAAGAAAAAGAGCTGTACTTTACGATGCAATGATCAGAATTATGTAAAAAAAATTTCCCACACGTGGGTGCACTGCGAGTTTACAATTTTTGAGCTTGAAAAAATGACCTTGAATTTTAAGGCCACGTAAATAGAGGCTGGGTTAAATCGAAAATCGCGTTCTACTATCTTAAAGTAGAGATTTTAATTTTTAATTTTGAAAAAATTGACCCTATTACGATATTTTTTATCTGAGATATTGATCTTTGAAGTTCCGCCCTTGTTTAATTGGAATTAGGTGTTGCGTTAATTTTGTTGTGAAGTATATGTTTTTTTCAGTTAACTGATCCTTATTTTTATACTTTACAAAAGAGAATTGAAAAGTAAAGCTATATTGATTGTGATTGGTTAGTTGTTATTCATACTTTTTAAAATTTTACAGATATTAAGCGCACGCAGCGCGTTTATTGACTAGTTTAATAAAATGGTCTAGTTTACTGGCATATAAGTAAAAAAATCAGATCTAATCTAAAATACATCTACAAATTTATTACGGTTATATTTAAATAGATATATTGTATTTCGTCAATGCCTAATGGCTACTTAACAAGCACTTTCTTGATAGGTGCGTGAAGGTGTTATGGAGAATACTTTAACAAATATTTTTATACATGACGAGTAACAAGTAAATGATAAGTATAAATTGCGCGCAAAAAATCGACTACCATGATAATTATGTCTTTATAATAAACAATATTATAAAAAATAATTTGAAAAGCATTATTTTTCTTAATTACTTTTAACATAAAAGATTAAAACTAGCCAGTTAAGTATAATAAATAACAAATTACGGTTAATATATACATTGATAATAAGTTATTATTCATAATTCTAGAAGCTATCCCAGATTTTAAAAAATATTGAAATGGGTGCATTATTTAATGAGATTCGTTCAATTTTTCGGAACGTTATTTGAACGCACGACTTAAGTTTTTTCAAGTGCCAGAAATTAGGCGGAGTGAGTTTCACCACTACAGCGTCCGGTCCTTGACTTTTACAATAGTTTATTTGAAACCCAATCATAAATTAAAAAAAAGCCAAAATTTAAGAAACATAGCGAAGATTAAAAGAAGTTTAACTCTTGAAATATCGAGTTCCGCTGAATTGACATCTTCCTCGTAATTTTTACAAGAACTGTGAATTAAAAAGACAAAACATGATTCGGCTTCTATTAATCGAAAATATAAATTTTTATTTTTTAAATCTCCAACGTGAATCCACTTATCTCAATGGTTAAGTTAAAAATTTCTATTTAATAAATCTAGCAAATCTATTTATTTATAACATAAAAAGTGTTCATTTTTTTAAAGCTCAAAATAAGGGGTTATAATTAATTTTTTTCAGTTGCCACTAGTAAAATATTAAAATTAACGTTTCGACAAAGAGATTAAGCCATCTTGCAGCTCAATCCCTTCGGCCAAAAGAAATTATAGCTACGTATTTGAGTCACCTCTTAATTAACTAACTAGAATATCTTAATAACTAATTAACACATTCATTCGCACGAGAGATTATTTTGTTTAGATTCATAAGAGCTTTCTCTTAACACCATTGAACATTGAAAAAAATCATTTTAGCAATAAATATTTCATGTTTAAAATGGCCATTTTCAAGGGTTATTGATACTTTTGGCAATATCTATCGAACGAAAATAATCGTGCGACGGCTCAAACTGTAACGTTTTCATCCAAAATCTACACCGTGGTTTACTGACTTGAAAAGCCTGTTTTTAGAAACTTTTACCTCATAAAAAACTGTTACATGTTATATAGATCATTTAGTTATATTACTCTTGACTTGTTTTCATCAAATTTTTTCATCCCTTAGTTTTTACATGAAATTTCCTCGAATGGAAATCAGTTAAAGAAAAAGAAGACAAATTGAGCTGTAACGAAGAATCTGAAACTTAAAATCCTGCCGTCTACGTTACTCTTAAGTACTAAACTAGGGAAATCTTTTGCAGACATACTCAGGAAAGTTAAAGAAGTAATCCTAGGTAAGGACGTTGAGGAATATTTTGAACAGTCTCCGGACAACTATTGATAGTCCTAGTCCGGAAAAGAGAAGATCAAACGATAGCCTTTTACTAACAGATCTAAAAGCTGCTTAAGGATGATGCAGGAGTTACCTATAGATAACACGAGGTAGACGACGTGATAATAAGCGACATCGAAGAGACAGCGACCAAAGAGGAAGTGAGGATAGCACTTCAAAAGATGACTAAAAAGTGACATTAAAACAGTCGATGAATTCCATACGAGCAGCATATGAAGAAGCTCAAGTAGCTTTTGTGAAACTAAAAGCTGAAAGAGTCAAGATTGGGTTAGTTAACTGTCGGATAAAGTGGATTAATCGACCAACCAAATGTTACAAATGCTGGAATACATGACACGTTACTAAGGATTCTACTAATCAGGTCAACCGTTCTGTACACTGTGATATGGAAAGGCCGGATACGAAGTGACTAACTTTAACCAAATCAATGAGCCATATTGCATCCTATGCTTATGCGTATAGATAAATTTGAATTGATATGTTGTCTCTTCTTCTTTAGTTAATAATTTTGTCTTTTAATAAATTTGTTTGAATGATCATTAGCTTGTAAATGCAATTTCAAAAAAAAACCTACACTCAACATAGAAATATTAAACAGGATAAAAAATTAAGATTACTCTTACATTAATATTAATTTTGAAAATTAGATGTGTGTGTGTGTGTATGTGTGGGTATGTATTTTAATGAATATCCAACACTACATCAAATTTTCTGCCTTAAATCATGTTTATTCAAATCTAAATAAATATACACTCAACTTTACAAACAATAATACATGATAGCATCAAAAAAGGAATAACGGTATGAAACAGTAGGATAAAAGAAATTAAGTGATTACAACAAAATTCAAACTTTATACTTAAAACCAAAACTTTCCTTTTTTGAAACTGTACACTTTTCAAAGTCATACAAGAAATTATGCTAGATAATAGTTTCTTTACCGAATCAAAATAACTATTCTGACCTCAGCTAACATGTTCTTATCCTTCCTTTTAAAAAGTCGCCCAAAAACAGCACATTTTTTTAAGATTTTCTCCCCTTTTCTTATTAAAAGAATGTTTTTTTTGTAATTCAATAAGAATATAATTTTGAGAAGTCAATGTAAAATGGTATCTAAAAAAAAGAAACCGGATTTGTTGATAGATAAGACAGTTAGAATATTGAAATATCTCTTTCATAATCAAGTGGATAAAAAAATTAATGCGTAATACAATGAATTTTTTTAATTATCCAACGATATAAACTATAAAACTTAGAAAAGTATCAGACTTTCATTGAGAAAAATCTATTTTTATTGACTGAAAAAACTACAGACTATAAATTAAATAATCTTTATAATATGAAATAAAATGTTAATACACATTTTCATAATTTGTAAATGCTTTTCTAAATTAGTTCTTTACAATGCATAAATAAAAGAAATTATTAAACAGAAATTATGTGAATTAAAAAAATATATTTCTATTTTCCACGTTTTAGTAAAAGTAATATCACTTGAAGCGTGTGATCACATAGATGAATCGATTTTTTTACATACTACAAACAAGAATTTTGATTTAATTTTGGAATTACTTCCTATTATTATTTTCACCTATTTTTATATAAACATGTAAATAAGTAACGCGTATTATTTTAATATACAAGTATATTAAAAAATAAAATAATTTTTTTTGATCAAATATTTTAAACAAAATAAATTATTTTACATGCATATACTTATCAATAAAATACGTAAAAATTATTTTAATCAATCTTGAGTGAAATGTCAATGGATTAATCTATAAATTTTAGAAGTTATTAATCTATCGAATTAAGCTTATTTTCATCACAATCATCTATAAAGCTAACAAATACTTATTATAAATTAAAAAAACTGTCATTCAAATGAAATCTGTAGCTTATATCAACTTTTTGAACGCCTAAAAACTTCTAATTTTATAACTTTTGAACCAAAAAAATACAAAATGAACTGTAGAAATTACAGTATGTTTTGATCTTAAAACAAATACAAAATCTTACTGATATAAGTGTGTGCTTAATATTAAAAGTATAAAAACTTGATAATTTTAGCACAATGTATCTTCACAATTTTTTATATTAAATAATGAATAAATTATGTTTTATTGAATAATACAGTACTAAATTTTTATTCTAATTAAAAATTGAAAAAGCCTACCACCATTTGTTGTTCGATTAGAAAAACAAGAATACACAAACATTTGTATTGGTATCTGAAAAAAATGTCTTGTCCTTTAAACTTTCATGTTTTACTTTGAAATTTATAATTACAAAGATATCTATAAAAATATGGAAATGTAGATTAATGTGAATATAAATTTTTTTGTAGCACAGTAACATCTTTTTATTCATGTTAAAAAATCTGAATAAATAAAATCATTTCTGAGGCGTGACATCATCATTATATGTAAAGCAGTTTAAATAATCGAATAGACTAATTTGAAATTCTAGTTTTATATTGTCTTGATTCTCAAAATATAATCAGTTTACGTAATTTTTGAAGCATAGATTTTTAAATAATTACAATGAAATGTGTGATTTAAAGCTACTGTTCAATCAAGAACGTTTGGCGGATAGGACTATTGATTATTCTTGTGAAACCAGATATTTTTGTAATTCTGAAATGCTTTCAGCATCCCATATTATTTCAAACTGACTAATTAATAACATATCATATTGGTTTCAAACAAGATTTTTTCAGATAATCTAATGTTTTCAATATCTACCATAATATAAACAGTTCAACTATCAATTGGATAAGAACAATTCAGGATGCTAGTGTTGATCAGTATATACTTTTACATTAATGCATGAATGATGAGTTTTATGAGCAAGTTTGATATACAGCGAATACATAAAACTATAAAAATACAACTTTGTTACATTCACGCTAGACAGTAAATCTTCAAGAAAATTTTTATTTGTTTCCTCCTTCAAATAAAAATTTTCCTTGTTAATATATAACAACATTATTTCTAAATTATTTTTTTCAATTTTTGAATAATTGGACTGATTGATTAGTTTTAATGACATTTCAGTAATTTGGTTATTCTAATCTAGAGAAAATCTAAGTGCTTAATGATTTTTGATCCATTCAAAATTGAACATTCTGTCTGTCATAGACTTAACATGAAGCAAACTAAATGCAACAATATTTAAATCATACTTGTTGCAAACTATCTGGGCAATAAATATGAATAGATTCAATTACTTTGAACGGCGACGTCCAGTTGAATTTCGTAATGCTTTTAAAGCATTCATTGGAGCTACTGAATGATTTTGTTTGTTAAGAGGACAATACTTAAGAGTATGTGCATTGTCTCCTTTTGCACCACAGATTGGACAGGTATATTTCCTGTAAAATAAAAAAAGAGAATTAAATACTACATCCTTTTTTAATAAAATATTTATCATTTGACTACAGCTTTGTACATTTTTGTAAAAGTGAATTTCAAATTAATTGAATAGTTATATTTATGAAAAATTAACCAGAAAAATATAACGAGTACAAAATAACTAAATAAATTAATTAAAAAATGTTCACAAGAGTACCTAAGTATTGGACAAATAGTTCTGCCCTCAAAATCTTTCAGTAAATGTTTCTTGTAAATTTTAGCATCTTCACCATTATTTTTACAAAATACACATTCTGTTGGAAGTGGCTTTTTATTTTTCTTCTTGTTGTGATGCCGTACAACTATTGTATCTTCTTGATCTGAACAGTATTCATAGTCACGTCCATTCTGTTTGAAGTCATCCCAAACATCATTTTCTATTAAAATAAATAATAATATACTTAAGTATAACTAAATAGGCATTTACTTTTATATAACATTATGTTATTATGTATATGCACCAAAAAATAATTCTGTTGGATATCTTCATACTAGATGAATATTTTAAATACTGACCCAACTAATAGGAGAAAGCGTGTGTACAAATCGCGATTGGCGGTATACAAGAATCGGCCACTTTCAAAAATTGATATACTTTCAAAATAATATTCTTGGTCATCAAATATTTCGTGGCCTATTTTAATTTAAGATTTATTTTATATTTCAACAATACAAATTTCCGTTTAATCCTGTTATTTATTTTTTCTGACGCATATATTGAAATAAAGTCATTTGGAACTATTAATACAATGCATTAAGTAAAGTAAACGTTATGTAATATGTATCGAAGTACTGATAAAACCTTGAAAAATACATAACATAACATTCATGTACTCCTAATTAATATTTCAAATTATTTGTTTAGAAACCATACTTTCCAAAACATGCCATAGAAATCGATATTTCTGATATTTGAAGAGCAAATAATATTTACACTTATACACCGCATTCTATATACGTTCGTTCCAAAGACTAATACTTGAAAGCCATTCGCTTTACGTTACCTAAACCTACGATAGTTCAATCGTAAACAAACATATTCAAAACAAAACCAATGTTATCTAAAAATATTTCTTAAGCTGTAATATGTACTTTGAACAATTTTTTATCATATAATAAAATTATCATGTATAACAAAAAAGCGATTGATACCGGATATCCACCTTGTAATGGGAAAAAGCAACAGGCTAAATTTATCGAGACAAATTTCTTTGAAATTAATCGCGCATCAAGTGCCGCATATTTTCTTAAAAGTCTCCTCTGATTACATGTTTTTAAACATATAACCAAGATTCTTAGGGAGTATATATATATATACACAGTTATGTGTATACATTTGTACGTATGTATGCATACGTACACGTACACACACGCGTACGCGCGCTTCATTATTTTTACATAAAATGGGTGTTTCAGTCATACTGTTTGCCAAAATAATTGAGTAATATAACTTAAAAAGAGATTTATAAATAAAAACAATGTAAAAAATGATCAAATAAACAAGATTATTACAATCAGTCTGATAGTGTCAAGTGGAATGTTGATACAGTATATTCTTATTCTTAGTATTATTAGACTGAATAACTAGAAATGAAATTTAAAAAATAGTATTATGGTTGTATGTATACGTGAGTATGCACATTGACATACGTGAGTATATCGAACAGATAAATGGATCGGCATTTGTTTCGGTCAAAGTTAAACGGGATCACGCTAACTGCAGTGATTCACGGACGTATTTTAACAAAGCAAAGAGGCAATAAGAAATTTAAGATAGTTGACAAAAAAGAAAAGAGAAATAGAAATACAGAAATTAAAAACTACTCACGAGTCGGCCGGGTTGGCACGTGGCTCAAGCAGAATTCTGAAAAAAGTCGATTGAGTTCATCCTCAAGGCTCGGGTTGAAGGGGAAGAGTTTAGGTTTCCAGTTAAAAGGAGGCACATTAACGGGTGTATTATGAACTGTAGCCATTGTCCTCGGGTTGGTGAGTTCTTCTCAGTTTCCCCAGGCTTTTCTTTTCCTGTGATTTGCTGACAATGGGTATTTAATTAACCACTTATTGCACCTCGAGTCAAAAATCAAACAGATGAGCACGAAGATTTCCCGAAATCACGACACAAGGGTCGAAACGAACTGGTATGAGCCTGATGTTACCAGCGCTGGATCTGACCGGGATGTTGAGTGAGCGAGTCGTCAAGTATGAATGCGTCACTCTCTTGGCGATTCTTGGCGCTCAATTGCAAAGAAGTAATGCCGTCGCTAGCGGCGACCAATAGGCAACCTGAAGAAGCTTCCGGCAACATCGCACCATGCACGACGTTCTTACTTTATACGTAAAAACTTTCGGGTCAGCTCGACCCCCGCATAATATTGGTTACAACGATTTCTTTTATTATATAATATATAATATAATAATATAAGACATTTCGGTTTTTCGTCTCAACATGCAATTAAAAGGCTTTATCATTCAGTTAAACAGCAATCTTCTGTTCAAATAAACTTTAAAATATATCTTCAATAAGAGATAGTTATTGTTATTACTTTTTACATGTTAGCGTATTAGTTGAATAGATTAAAATAAAAATATTTCTTACGATTGTATGCATATTTTAAGATAGTCGCACTATAAATCATAAATAAAAGTAACATCTCATGAATAATATAATACAGTCTTTTATATATACATTTATTCGTTCTGTGCAAAATTCAGACTTAAAAACATTAAAAATATGCAACTTTACAACCTGAGCTGTTATTAATGTTTTTTAACTTTTAATTTTTGTTTTGTCTAAGAAACTGATTTAACTAAAAATAGTAGGAACATAACCTCAACTTTTGATGTATTGTATAAGTATCTTGTTAAACTACAACAACCCGTTATTTGCTACATTTTACAAAGTACAAAATTGCAATAAAAATTTCATTAAAAACTGTAGGTAATGTTAAAAAATCTGATTTAAAAAATTATGTTTAGCTATATGGTGCGAACAATTGATATGTTAATATTAATGTTTACAAGTTGGCAATAGTAATATGTCGAACGTTACATTTTTTTTAATTTTTTTACATTACTAGTATAAAAAATGAATAAGCATCATATTCATTGGTTTATGTCATACATTTATTAAAAAGTACCTTAAAATTTATTAAAAAGAACATTATTTTTTAAACCTAAAAGATTTGTATTGATTCATATTTAAAACAACTCTTATTCAATAGTACCAATCATATCAATAAATTGGATGATTCAATGTAGTGATAATAATAAGAAATGAACTATTTTCAATGAACTAATTAAAATGAACAGTTAAACCGATTCTTCATGTTAATCATATTTAATGAAATTTAATATTTGGAATAAAAATAATTCGATAATTAGTTAATAACACTAGATCTCGTACAGCGCATACTACGCGTGTTAAATATTTTTATTTCCCCACTGGAAATGAATATATAAATTTTTTACAGAATATGCACGAAATTTATACAAATTTGGTATAAGTTTTATATAAGTTTAGTATAAATTTTATACTAAATTTGCACGAAATTTGAAAAAAATGAGTTCTCAATAATCAATTTTTTTCTAAAAATTGAATTAATAAATAATACACGCTTATTATGGATAAAATGACGAGGGCAGCTTCAATAGAAGATGAGCTATATATGGAAAATGAAACAAATAAGAGAAAATAACCGACCTGATCGTAATTTGAACCCTAAACCTTCATATTACCAGACTTGTACTTTATCTCTTTGCTACCTATGGCTGTTACGGTGTGAATACGATCAATTAATTCATTGCCAAATTTATGATTGCATGTAATATAAAATAAAAAATCACATATATAGAAGCAGTGATTGGTAACAAAATGATAAAGTATAAGTCTGGTAACATGAAGGTTTCAAGTTCAAGTTTCGATCAGATCGATTATTTTGTTTTACTTTTTTATTTTTTGTATATATAGTTCGTTTTCTATGGAGCTGCGCACATTATATTATCCATATGCATGTATTATATATTTATTCAGTTTTTATAAACAAGTCGATTATTGAGTACAAATTTTGTTAAAATTTCGTATAAATTTTGTATAAAATTGATATAGAATTTGTACAAGTCTTTTACGAAACATGTACTAATTTCGTACGTTTATTACATATGGCTTATACAAATTTCGTACATATTCTGTACAAAATATGTATATTTCTTTCCAGTGGGCCTTATATCACTACTTCAAAGTATATTATCTTAAAAAACTACTGGTTTTCCATAATGATTCAAATTAAAACATGTACGGAATGATTTCTGTAAAAATAAATTATCGAAAGTATTAAAAAAAATTTAACCTTATTAAGTTCTTTGTAACATATATAAAATTCTTTGTATAACATATTTTTAAACAATGTTATTTTAATTTGCAACATAAAATTTTTAATTCTTGAAAATATTTCTTTCGAGATCTATTTCAATGTAATTAAATATTTGACTTTGTACTTAACGCTGTTAATTGAATGTTAATTGAATTGGAAATTTATTCTAATGGAATAAAATTAGGTGCAGAAAATACTCACTATTAATTATAAATTATAGCTATACGTAAATAGTCCTAAAAGAAATCTCTGTGTAAGTCCATTTATTAAAAAATATTACGACTGGTTAATACTTTATTAAACATATTTTTCCATAAAAAAATTAACAAACCATTGGTGTAAAATATTCTACACGACATAATTTTATCATTTGTTTAATAATGGACAGAGTTTTATTCGTACAATACTTTCAAATATTTTTTTATTCCTGCAGAAATATTATATGTAGAATCAGAGCCGAGTTTAGACCTTTCCCGACCCCTGGGCCAAAAAGACGGCGGGGCCTACTTAGCTGATATTTTTCATGTTCGCGAGGCCTGGTTTCCACGGCGGGGCCCCGGCCTGGGCCCAGGTAGGCCCATACCTAAACTCGGCTCTGTGTAGAATATTGACAGCCAGTTATTTTCCAATCGAATATTTTGTAGAATATTTAAGAATATTTACATGTTAAATAGTATCTTCTTTTTTAATAAATACAATTTTATGTTTTCTATTCATTTAAAAAAATACTATATGTAATAAATAAAATTAAAAATGTATGTAGAAACAGTATTTGTACGAAACGAATCCAACCGAATTAATTGGTATAAATTTTTTGTTGGTAATCTCACGGTTGTAGAAACCCGCTCAAGTACAAAAGAATTGTTAGTGATTTTATTTGTTACATAAAATCGGTAATAAATTGAAGCAATGTTATGTAGGAAAGTAGAGAAGAAAAGGGGTTTGTTCTATCATTTTTTTTAATAAAAAGAATGTTGTATTAACTCACTTGTTCCGAATTGGATATTATTGAAATTTATTGATGATAGTTAGTATAAGTTTCGTTTTTTTTTTAATATTATTATTTATTACATATAATTGAGTAAATAACTTTCGATTCCATAACTATAAATACAATCGAATGTAATTGAATTTTTCATTCGTTATTAATATATTTTGTGAAGATAAATTCAGGAATGCAGTAATATCTGATTTTTGTCTTGGCAAGTATTTTTTTAATTTTAATTTTTCATCTATTATATTGCAGTACAGGAATTTTCTTTAAGAACAATTGTTTAGACATTTTTTTAACATTTAGAATTATATTCGTCGTAAAAACGTTTTGTGAACATAAATTCACAAATATAACAATAACAATTATATCTCAGTGTTTTCTACATTTCTATTTATACTTTAAATTGTATAAGAGTTCTCTCTAAACACAATTACTTATCAATTTGATATACGTTTTGTGACTAAAACTTCGTAAACTTTTGTTTAGTGAAAATTTCCAATAGAACACGGAATGATTTTTCTAATTATTGCATATGTTATGTTATGTTAATACTTACCGGATCTGTCTCATCTTTCGAGTGAAAAATGCTATATTTAAATGACAATGATGATTAGACAATTGAATCTCTCTATTGCAGTTGAATGTTGTTGGTACTGTAGATAAAAAATAACATAGAGCTGTGCAGTTATTGGCCTCTTAAGCATATACGCCATCGAAATCTTAGCGTTAATAACTCATTGAATATAGTTTCAATGTAAGTAGACTTCCTTAGCTTTTAAAAAGTGTTATTTACCAAAATTAAATAAAAGAAAAAAATTAAAATCGTGTACTTATTAAAATATTAATGAAAATTGTACTTGAAGTAAGAAAACTCAATGATTGGCCATGTAATGGCAGTGATCAACTTAGCACTACGTAATTATTGGCTTATCATTTTAAGTGACTGATATTCATAAAATAAATCAAAAATTATATTTAAAATACATTAAAAAAATTACTTTATTAATTAATAATATATTTATATCAATATCAAATATCATTTTCAAGTTTTTCTCTAGTTATTAGAAACAAGATTACTTATATCACTAAAAATTTTTAAATTATCTATTTCTATATTTTTAACAGTTTCTTTTATTGCTTTTCCAGCTTTCTTTTTATTTTCTTTGATATTCTTTACTTGTTTATCACTTTTTTCTTGTTTCATATTTTTTTCTTTTTCTTATTTTATCTGTAAAGCTACTTGGTTTTTTAAAGCTTTATGTCTTTTAACTAGCTTCTTCTTCTCAGCCATAGTAATTTTTTAAGTTATTTTTTAATTCTTGTTTTTTTTTTTTTTTATTTCGTTTGCTTTTCATTCATTTGATGATAGGGCATACGAAGTTTTCTCAGTAAATTTTTTACCTTTATGCATAAGTACTGGTGGCTTCTCAAGAAATTCATGGAATTCTTTTGTAGCGTTTCTTTTAGAAGTCAGAAATAGAGAGATCTAAATCCATGAATAATATCAATTTAAATTTTTTCCCACCGTCCGATAGCCGTGAAATAACAAGTACTTAGTTGTAAAATAGAATATCTCCGTAAATGATGAGCTTACAACAACCAGCTTAACGACAGTCGATTACTAATTAAATGATCTTCAAAATAAAAAACATTGCTCTATATTTATTAGGAGCTGAGATAATTTTTTTTTGTCGTACAGATTACTTGGTTCCTAATCAACTTTTATTATTCTATTTTTTCTTATTATAATAAGCAATAATCAAACTATTTGTTGTTTTTTTAAGCTTAGCGTCATTTACAACTTGCTTTAAACATTTGACAAAGTCAAGTTACGTATATCATTCGTAATGGCAAAGATTCA